CACATTGATGACTTGGAGACTATCTGCAGGAGTAGCGCTGATTCACTGGAAGTCATATTGATGAGTTGACAAGAGATTGGTGTTGCGCTGTTGAGCGCTGGACTCAGGGGAACTTTGAAACACTTTGTATTCATATTTTTGATGATATAAGCTGTGAAACTCGGTCCTCTTCTCATCTACCTTTGTCTATGACTTGAGACTATTGATCGTGGCGTGTGAGGATGATGCATGACATGTACACACTTGCATGAAAGGGTCCCCAGGACCCATGCAAATTTGGTATCGGAGCAGATGCTCGCTACACTCATAGCGCTGGTCTGATCAAGGCCGGCGAGAAGTGGTGATGGAGGAAGAGTGAAGGAGGGAGGAAGAGAAGAAGGGTTTGATAGTGGGGGAAGCAGGTCGAAGAAGAAGTGACGAAGTTACTTACCTGGAGCGTGCGGAGCGTCGTGGAGCATCATCGGCGGTATCTTCAAGAAGAGAGAAGCACCTCTTTTTCCCTAAACCTGCATGCATGCGTGTGTCCCCTACCTTCTCTCTCTCTGACCCTCTGAAGGTGACTGCTGCTGATCTGGTCAGGAGTCGAAGTCTGGATCTGGGTTGTCATAGATGGCAGGTCTGAGACGTCAGAGTCTGATGACCCAATTGTGATGTGTCAGGAACTGGTCACACTAGAGTAGGTGGTCCAGTGTTCTGCGAATAGGAGTAGGTCTCTCTCCTATCCCTCTTGATAGGCAGGCTGGGTATCGTCATCAAGAACCAAGGATCGATGTGGGAAGTGGCAAGGTGCCACGTCAGATTGCATGTACCAGGCAACGCAGACATACAGATAAGCATGTACCGGGCCTGTTAAGCCCGAAAGAAAGCAAAGGGCATACGAAGTATCTTTGCCTGGGTGGGTAAGTGAAACAATTGCATCTGACTTCGCTGCGCTATACTCCATATCTGCACCAAGTAACCAGCCAAGTTAGTACGAAAAAAAAAAGAGAAAGCGAGACAACAGAAAAAAAATACCAAAAGTTCGATCCAGCAGGCCAGACAGCACATCAAAAAAAAAAAAAAAAAAAAAAAAAAAAAAAGGCTATACAGATTCAACAAGTAAGCATTCTTTTAATTTGATTTGTTACCTGCAGCACCTTCTACCGTTAAAACAAAAAAAAGGGAAAAGGAAAGGTATAAGTACTCCATTACCACAAGTCAAGACCAAGTCCGTAAGTGGGATAGTACCTTGGTGACCCGGCGGAGGGTCTCCTGTGCCGGCAGTCATCATGAATGACTATCCCATCCAAGGCCTGTTGGCCCTTTCTGTCTTGTTGCGGCCGCTGTTCCGGCTTGTGTTCCCACTGGGGTTCGGGCGTGTGTGCACGTCCCGCATGCTGATGCGGTATGGAACAATGAAGCTTGGCCCTACACCTGCGGAGCAGGCAGAAATAGACCGCAGGCTGGCAGATAAGAAAAAGGAGAAAGAAGCAAAGAAAAAACAAAGAGAAGAAGAAGCAAGAAAGAAGATGGAGAGAGAGTTGGAGGAAGAATTGAAAAGTATAGAAAAAGAAGAAGAAGAACAACAAGAAGAAGGAGAAGTGTTGGAAAGACGTCGTCACCAAGACATACCTGAAAGCAGCACAATGACCCACCTTCCCGTTGAACCGCTGGACTGGGGCAGCCGGTACTACTACTCCAGCGAGCCGTTAAAAGAATCTGATGAAGAACTGGATACGTTCATCGCCAAGTTGGCCACTATTAAAGACACCGTTGAACGAAACCTGATGTTGGAGGAGAAACGGGCTGAGCTAAATCGCAGGCTGTTGGCCGCTAGACGGCAAGAGGTGGAAGACAAGAAAAGATTGCAGGCAAAAGGGGATAAATTGCAGAAAGCTCTAGAAGCGCAAAAGGAAAACCCCTCTGCAGCTGAAGCACAACTTGCACTCCTCAGGGAGGCCGTCCTCAACACGAGGCAAGACATGGAGTTAATGCGGCAGACCTTGCAACGTGTAGAAACACATCGGGTTGAATTTGAGAATGTCTGGAATAACTTCGTAGAAAAGTCAGCAAAGGACGTTGACCAACATGTGCAAACTTACATCCAGGCTTTGGACGAACATATTAATAAAGTCTTCACCCCGGAGGTCGTAGAGAAGATTGTGAAGGGAGCTGGAGGCGACGGAGGAGATGGAGATGGTGATGACAATGATGACAAGAAAAGTAAGAAGAAGATTGAGGATTCAAAGGGCCAACCTTCCCAGGAACCCGGGCAAACTAACAAAATTAAGCTTAAACTGCCATGGACCTACAATGGGAAGAAAGAAGAGAGTGTGTTGCATTGGGCGGCGGCAATTGAAACTTATGTGTATGGACAACGGATTCCGTACTGGGACAGGGTATTGATGGCAACCTAGTGCATGGGAGGCGACGCCATGAGCTTCGCCATCTCGCTGCAAAAAGAGGCGGGATGCAGCTCTATGGTAGAGTATTCACAACAGACCCGTATTGAGGATTTCCTTAAAGCGATAAGAGAGAGATTTGAGGACAAGAACCTGGCAAGGCGCACAGAAATGTTGATCCTCATCCTCCCCGATAGAAAATGGAAGAGTACGTCTGCATTAAAGGCAACTATGGATGAATTGTTGCAATGCCCTGATCATGGATTAACGCCGGCCCAAATCCTAAATAGTTTTGCACGAGCACTCCCGGATCCCCTACGCACACAACTCTATCCCCGCACTAAAGAAGAGGGGATGACGTATGAGAAGTTCGGCAAGATCGCCATAGATCACGCCGGCTTCCTCGTCGAGGCGAACTATTGTCATTATTGGAAGGATCTGCAAGCGGGTAAGAGATGGCAAAACCGCACTATCTCAGGTCTATACCTGGGAAAGACAGTCTCCTTCTAACCTTTGAAGAAGGAGGCGCCGATACCATCTCCTGGGATCAGGTTGATTATGGTCTCGATGAACCCAACAGACCGGTAGCTCAGGAGGGGAGTTACGCGGCTGTTGCAGCCCGCGGGGGAGGGCGTCAAGGAAGAGGRCGTRGCYGAGGAMGAGGTCGYGGCYGTGGTGGACGAGGATTCGRCACCCAGAGGGGTGGTGGTGAAGGAAGTCACTACGTGGGAGGAAGGGGAAATGGTCCCTCATACGGTGGCCGTGGTTCTTACTCCACCTGGGGTAGAGGAAGAGGCTCATGGTACAACAAGTGGGATAAGCCATACCCACCACATCCAGGCGTACCCGAAGGGGAGCCTTGGAAAGAGTTAGGAATAACATAAAAGGTGTGGGCTGAAAGAAAGAAAGCCGACCAATGCCTCAAATGTGGGGACCCCGACCACATTGTCCCCTATTGCCCTGACTATAGGGGGGCAAAAGGGAACAACCAGTAGAGGTGCCAGTTGCCTCTACCGGGGCTTCAAATGTTGAAAAATCAGAATCCTCCCATTCGAAGGCCCCAATGGCAGAAACTGAAGAGGAAGGAAGTCCCCATCTAGTGCACTGTCCAGAGGTGGCAAACGTATGCATCTGTCTAGATGGATCCCTCGCTGGCGTGGGTGATGAGTTGGCCGCTCGTCGCCAAGCCTGGACTGAAATGCGAAAAAAGAAAGGACAGCTAATAATTGCAGATCTGGAAATAAACCGAGTTAGAGTAGGAGGTATGATAGATAGCGGATCTACACGCAGTTATATAAGTAAGAAAGGTTTGCAAAAACTGCGTCTGGGCCTTAAGGTAAAGAAGTTAAGTGAGCCCATTGTAAGTAAGCTAACGAATAGTAGTGAAACCGTCATGGATCGATACGTTGAGGGGGTTCAAGTATACTTTCGGCTAGAGGCAGAGGGGAAGGTGGAACGCGTTCTCCACTCTCTGACCTTCTTGGTGGAGGATAACTTGCCCTTTGATGTGTTGTTAGGAATGGATTGGGGTGAGGCTGCACATGCGGATCTAAAGTTAAGGGAACATGAATGTTGGCTTTCGAGTCCGTGAGGAGGTAAGAAAAAGATTCGCCTCTACCATGAATCAGGAAAAGAAAGTAGCCTAGCTCACTGTTGTATGAGTGCCCCAGCGTTCGCTCGCCATGTCAAGAAACATAACTTGTATGACCAAGTCTTTATTGCATATGTGCGCCCAGTAAAGGAAGGAGAAACAAAGGAAGAAGTCAGGTCCCACGAGATTGAAAGGATCCTGAAAGAGTTTGCAGATGTGGCTGAGGCCCCAAGCGGTGTGGTGGAAAGACCAATCCGCCACCGCATTGATATCATTCCAGGGAGCACGCCCCCGAAGGGGCCTATCTATCGTATGTCGCCCCAGGAATTGGGTGAACTGCAAACCCAACTCGATGAGTTGTTGAAAAATGGTTGGATAAGACCTAGCTCCTCATCCTATGGTGCGCCTGTGCTCTTTGTGCCTAAAAAGGATGGCGGCGTTCGCATGTGTATAGACTATAGGAGATTAAATGACATAACTATAAAGAATGCGGAACCATTACCGTGAATAGACGATTTGTTGGATCGCGTGCAGGGAAGTAAAGTATTCTCAAAGATTGATCTAAAATCCGGCTACCATCAGATTGAGGTTGAGCCGGAAGACCAACATAAGACTGCCTTCAGGACAAGGTATGGGCATTATGAGTTCGTAGTTTTGCCCTTTGGTCTCATAAATGCCCCTGCCACTTTCCAAAGAACGATGAACGAACTCTTTCGTGAATGGCTTGACAAATTTGTTGTGATTTATTTAGATGATATTTTGATTTTCAGCAAAAATGAAAAAGAGCATGCTGAGCACCTTCGACTTGTGCTAAATAAATTGAGAGAAGCAAAACTCAAGTTAAACCCAAAGAAATGTGAGTGGGCTAAGCGTCAGGTGCTATACCTACGACATGTGATTGATGGAGTTGGGGTCAAACCGGAAGATGCCAAGATAGTAGCAATCAGAGATTGGCCGAACCCCCGCACCCTGACTGAGTTGCGGTCGTTCCTTAGGTTAGCCAACTACTATCGAAAGTTCGTAAGACACTTGACGATAATAGCTGTTCCCCTTCGCCGATTGCTTAAGAAAGAAGTAATTTGGAAGTGGGATTCATACTGCACGATGTCCTTCAAGCGTTTGAAAAAGTGTTTGATTAATTATCCGGTTCTTAAAGTAGCGGACCCTTCCTTACCTTTCGTGGTCACGACCGACGCTAGTCAATATGGTATAGGTGTTGTACTCCAGCAAGATGATGGGCATGGGTACAGGCCTGTAGAATTTATGTCTTGCCGCTTACCTAACGAGAAGGTGGCCGCTTCAACGTATGAACGAGAGTTGTATGCTTTGCGTGAGGCTCTCAATCATTGGCGACACTACCTTCTAGGAAGGCATTTTAAAGTATACTCTGACCATGAAACACTTCGCTGGCTCAAAACGCAAGCTTGAATGACACCTAAGTTGACAAGGTGGGCTGCAGAGATTGATATGTTCGACTTTGAGCTGAAGCCAGTAAAGGGTAAGTACAACGTTGTTGCTGATGCACTAAGTCGTCGATCATACTTTTTCGGTGCTATTGTGATCTATCTAGATGTAGCTATTGACCTACAAGAAAAGATTAGAAATGTGTATCCCTCTGATCCTGTTTATGGAACCATGATTAAGCTAATGCAAGAAAAGCCAGCAGAGTTTCCCGATCATAAAGTAACGCAGGGTCTATTGTTTGAACGAACTGATGTGCATGATAGGCTGTGTATACCCAATAATGAAGAGATCAAAAGTATGATCTTGGGGGAATGCCATGATACTGAAGGCCATTTCGGGTGGAAAAAAACCTATGGGACTTTATTGCGTTCCTACACCTGGCCTCGGATGAAAGCAGACTGTATCGCGTAAGTGCAAGGTTGCCAAGTGTACCAATGAAACAAAAGCACCACGCAATCGCCCCTCGGGCTACTTAAGCCCTTGCCTATCCCTACCGGCCCTGGAGACTCTGTCTCTATAGATTTCATGGACACTAAGGTAAAGAGCGGAAATAGTGGATAGATTCGCTAAGTATGCTGTTTTTGTAGCTTTGCCTGCGGAAGCAAAGACTGAATTGGTAATTCGGGAATTCTTTAACCATTGGGTAAAAGACTTTGGACATCCCTTAACTATTGTGAGTGACAGAGATACCAGATTCACGAGTGAACAATGGCAGCAACTGATGAATGTTTATGGCTCTAAGCTGACTATGTCATCAGGTAGACATCCTGAGACTAATGGCCAGACTGAGCAGATGAACAAGATTTTGCAGCAAACTTTACGCATGTACATCAGTCTCGATCAGATTGACTGGGATGAACATCTGCCTAAAGTTGCCAGTGCCTATAATAACTCTGTACATCTATCTACATGTAAGACTCCTATGGAGTTACATCTGGGATGGCGTCCACGCAAACCCATTGATCGATTGAACCCGGACCAAGTACATCAGCTTCCTATAGGGACTAGTAAATTTGCAGTCTAATATCAGAAAGATATTGAGAAAGTAAAGCACAGCATCAGATGATTGAACAGGCAAATAAACACAGACGCCCGTCTCAATTTGCTGTAGGAGATTTGGTTTGGGTGAAGTCTAAAGAGTTTGCTCCTGAAGAGAACATCTCTCAGAAGCTTCTACCCACCTACAGAGGACCTTGGCAGGTTCTAGACGTAATTGGAGATGTGGATGGTCATTCGTATGTCATTGAGATTCCTCCTCATCTACGTACATATCCAGTGTTCCATGCTTCCAAGCTCTTACCTTGTGTAACGAATGAGCTCTTCCCAAGTTGTTAAAATTGTTGCAGAAAGTACTTACCACACTGGACGTAGAGGCAGACCACAACGACAATATAAGGTGAGGTTTGCATACCAGGATCCTAGTGAAGATCGCTGGTTTACAAGAGAAGAGCTGTTAGATTTTGCACCTCATATTGTGTCTGCATACGAAAGCGCAAAGAAAGGAATTCATATTCTTGATAGGTAAGTGATTCTCAGAGGACTTCGAATTTAGGCCGGCGAGAGTAAAAGGGCCTTTACCCGATATAGGCCTCAGGCCTTGTAAAAGTAAAGCAACACGGGCCTTGAAAAAGTAAAGCATTGTGAGAAGGTATCTTGCCAGGGCTCAGAAACGTGAAAGCAGGTCAAAGGTCAAGTTCTCTATCAACAGGCACATCTAAATCTAAGGCAAAGGGCATTGTCAAAAGACTTGTATCTCGCCAGAGCTCAGAAACGTGAAAGCAGGTCAAAGGTCAAGTTCTCTATCAACAGGCACATCTAAATCTAAGGCAAAGGGCATTGTCAAAATACTTACCTGTTCACCAGGAGCTGTGTATGTCATGTCTGTTCGGGTAAGAGTGTGTCTGTACGTGCAGACAGTGTACCTGTTCATGCAAAAGGAGA